CGGGCCACGGTGTCAGCCCTGCCCTCTCGGTTTGTGTCTCTGCAGCTTGTACCCGCACATGTTCTCCAGAGCCTACATCAACTTCAAGAACCAGGAAGACATAGTCCTCTTCAGGGATCGCTTCGATGGCTATGTTTTTGTCGACCACAAAGGCAAGTGAACAGCACTCGGCGTGCGTTGGTGCTGTCTATGCCCTGTGCTGGTGGAGCTCGGGGGGCATGGGGGTGAGCAGCCACTTGGAACTTCTTCAGGTTTGATCCCCCGAATGAGTGTCACCCAGTAATTCAAAGGGCAAAGAAAACACCTCATGCTTTGTGGAAACTAATCTAAATTGATTTTTTTAAATTTCTCCTAATGGATTTTGTACGTGATGTGTGAGATCTAGTTAAGCATGCACAGGGTGTCCATACAAGTCCTGTTGCTGAGGTGAATACTTGCACTGTCATACCAAGCCTGAAAAGCAGGTACATGGTGCCACTGTCCAAACAAATGAAGCTGAGGTTGGTGGTGTCACCCTCTGCTACTCCCTCACCTGTCCTGTACACTTCCAACAGTGTGAGTTATCTTTGGTCAGTTTTTAACTGAAACTATTGCTTGCTTCAGTTTACAACTGAGTGAGTCATCCCAATTCGTAAAAGTAACAGCTTCTTGCAGACTGAGTTGTGAAAGTGACTCATCTGGAGACGTTAATCTGGAGGAAACATATTGAGTTTAATTCGTTGGTTAAACATCCAAGTATTTAGTTCCCACTTAACTTTTCTCTAAACACACAGTAGGTATTCACTACGACTCATGGTTTTAAATTTTGCGTTTCAAAAGTGCTTACACTGTTGGTCTATCTCATTGATAGACCTTAAATTCACATATTTAGCAAAAGCTCTTAACAAGAGTCTTCCTGTTTGCTTGGGCAGGCAAAAGGTTTGACCTGGAGCTTTGTTTCAAGTGCACATGTTTTCTATCTCATCCTGCCAAGTGTTTTATCTGACACAAAGCTCTCTCTGTCTGCAAGATTCTTGTTTAGGAGGTTGCATGACATGGTTCCACTAACACCCAGATCCTTTAAAGAAGTTGATCTGCAGTGTAAGAGCACACTGGTTGCCATACCCAGCAGTGATACTGGATTTATGCAGCCATAGATGTATCTTTCTTGTCAAAAGATTAAGCTTTAAAACCTGCTTGTAGTATGTTGCCTTCTATTATATTTTGACAAAAATTGAGATTTGCCTCAGTTGCATCAACTTAAAATCTTCTCTTTTACTTGCACAATGAGTGCAGAGTCTGCAGGATGAGGATGTTATGTGGTGGCTGAACTGACAGTCATGGGCTGTCTTAAATCTAGTATGTTCTTCTTGTGAGTCTGAATTTCCTGGTGTGTTAACACAGTGAGAGTGTTTAGTTTGTGAATTCTGATGTCTCTAAAGGGTTATTTTTCTTCATTAAAAGGCTTTCAAAATACAAGATTCTTTTATATTAAGTAATGGCTTTTAGTATTGCTTATTTCTTGTGAGGCTTATATTTCTGCTGTAGACATGGACAATATCCTCTAATTTATAACAGTTTCATCTCTATTTTAACATATTTTTCCCTCTTCTCTTACCAGGTCAGGAATATGCTGCCATAGTTGAGTTTGCACCTTTCCAAAAAGCTGCAAAGAAGAAGAGTAAGAAGAAGGATGCCAAAACTGGAACTATTGAAGATGGTATAACAGAGAGCTCATTTGTTTTGCATGTGTTGACTTGAAAGTCCTGGCAGTAATTGGAATATAATGTTTTTACTGTGGCACTATAACTTCATCAATAGGATGTTAGCTTAATTATATGTGGAGCTTATTAGCACTGCTTTGTCAGCTGCAAAACTATTAGCTATGATTGTCCCAGACAAACATAATGTAGTAGCTCATTTAAGAGCTCTAAGTTATGAAAAGGTGGCATATAAACAACCTAACTTATGTAAGTTTAACCCAGACTTCCAGCAGTGCACAATGCAAATGATTTTCATGCTATACTATCTCTCTTTTTTTCTCCTTATTTTTTTCCTCCCCTTCCTTTTCCCCTCCCCTGTAGATCCAGAATACAAGAAGTTTTTGGAAAGTTACAGTGCAGATGATGAAAAATTAACCTCCACTCCTGAAACTTTGTTGGAGGAAATCGAGGCAAGAAACAAAGAGCTAATAGGTATGGAAATCTCTGTACTATAGTTGCATTTTCCTAGAGCACAAAGAAACATATGTGGTTTGTAATTTGAAGCTGTGATTTCTCAGCCTGGAGGAGACTGAATTATTTTGTGTGCCTGCTTAGTGTTTGTTACACCTTTAGGCTAATATTATACAGTTTGTTTTGATTTGTTTCCACACTCTAAATTCTTCTCTAGGTTGAAGTTTTATATAACAACCATCTTCCTGTTGCTAGCTGCTAGTTAGGTGTTTGTTATCCAGACTAGCCTGTGGAGTGACTGCGTTTCAGTGAGGTGCAGTGATGTTTAGTGCACAGTGCTGTGAGCACAAGTTAAGCTGCAGGCACAAGTTAAGAGAGGTTGTGGCTGGGTAAAATACCACCAAAAATGACCAGGTTGCTCTTTTTAAGCATGCTACAGGGATCTCTTTAAAAACTAGAGAGTCTGGGAAAAGCCTAATGCAGACTGAATATCCCTGTACAGATACTGGATATCCTATTAGTGTCCTAAAGAAGCTGACAGAATCCTAATAGCTGCCACTGTTCAGAGAGAGGTTTGGAATACTTGTTTCACTGCTGTGATGCTGTTCGTGAGAGCAGACAGGCAGGGTAACCCATAAGGCAGCTTCACAGAGAGTTTTGTTGTAGGTGTTGTGGCATTGGATAGGGCAAATTGTTTACCTTTGTTTTATATATTCTGCAGCTAAAAAGACCACTCCTTTATTGAACTTCCTGAAAAACAAACAGGTAAGACTTACCTCCAGAATCATCTTTTTTGTTTACAAGTACAATTTGCTCACTTAAAGCATGAGTGTGTATATTGCAGTGTGTATATTGATATGTTCCTGCAATTCCTTTTGAAGAAGGAGCTTTTGACCCAACTTGCTTGTCAACATTTGGTTCACATATCTCAAACTACTGGAATGATGGTCCTTGTAGGAATGGTGATACTTTGTGCACTTTCTGGTCACACCAAAACGTCTGTGGTGCCACTGCCAAACCAGATTCAATGTTAATGCTTCCATTTCTAGTGTAGTTGTGTCTGAAGTTCTGGTAGATGATCTTCCTCCTAGCACATAACATTATTTTAACTTTTAGCAGTGGGTAAAATCAGAGGTGAGGCAGATTTAATGAAAATCAGAATTATAAAGGCCAAGGCCTGTGTTGGGTTTGGGTTTTTTAAGGTGGTACAAATCAAGGTTTATGAGTAAGAAAAAAGATGTCGCTGTAACATGTTTGGGTTCACAACAACAACAGAGACAGCAGGACTGTATTTTCTTTTATGATAGAGGTGGCTTTGAGGTGAGTTATTAGATGGCTTAAAGAGATGTTTCTCTAGTGTGGAGATAGACTATTTCTCTGTGCTTTTATACACACAGAGACTGAGAGAAGAAAAAAGAGAGGAGAGAAGGAGGAGAGAATTGGAAAGGAAAAGACAAAGAGAAGAAGAAAGAAGAAAATGGAAAGAGGAGGAGAGAAGGAAGAGAAAAGAAGCAGAAAAATTGAAGAAAGTAGACAGATGCCCAGAAAAAGAAAGAGACAGATCAAAAGAAGAACCAAAGATTAAGGTCTAGAACAGTTCTTTATTATAAACTGTTACACTCCCTTTCCCCTATTATTTGTTTATCAGTCTCAAAATGTGCTTTGAGTATTGTGTGAAGAATCACATGAGTTTGGTGTTAGTAAATTACCAAGTTTTTGTAATATTCAATAGTAGGCATTGTAAAGGTTTACATGCTGTAATGCTTCATAGTGATATTTAAAGGCTTTGTCATGTGACTGTTGTACATACTGTGGTAAACAGGATTGTGAATTCACTATGGAATGGAGACTATTTTTGAGCTTTCTAAAATGGCCTGGTTCAGGAGAAAAATCCTAGTCTGCTGTGTGAATAATGCTTACTCATACACTCCAGCTTTTAGAAGTACTGCCACTTGCAGTGATATTTCTGTAATGTTTACTTCATACTGGACTGTGGTTCCTTTGATGCAATTTCGGTGTTGTGCCAGACAATGTGTATTAGAGTGAGCTTTTTAGTTGAGACTTCTGTTTTCTTTGTAGCTACTTAAGAAGCCTGAAAAAGATGAAAAAGACTTGGAGAGAAAAGAAAAATCCAAGAAACTGGAAAGAGAGACTCTGAGGGAGGAAAAAAATGCGAGTAGTGCATCTGCCAAACGATCTGATGGGGAGACAAAAGAAGAGAAGGCAAAAAAGTATTCTAGTACTTGCTATAAATATATATGTATCTATAACTTGTTTCCTGATTGTACTGAGGCTTAGGCTGCTCTGCCATGGCCATGTGTTGAAATTCCTTTCAAATGCTCTTTCTGATAGAAGTCACAGGCTGTGTTCTCTGTGGCAGTGCACATCCGCCTGCTTACAGAAAGGTCTGTGAATTACCTGACAATTCTTCACTAGTGGACAAATTTTAATAGTTTTGCAACTCACTGTAGGAGCTCCACAACAGAAGCCCAGGTGTGAGCACTGACCTTGTACCTCAGTGACTGAGGTAGTCACTAGTCCCTTTAAGTCTTGCAAAAGGTCAAAGTGGAAAATGTAATTCTCAACAGCTCCGTGATCTGTCCAAGGTTCAGTTCTGCCATGTGAGAAATAGAGATGAGACAGAGAAATTCAGGTGTTTCTCCAAAGCCAGAGGAGACTCAGCCAGCTCTGTGAGTAGGAGGCTGGGAAATGCTAGGGGTCAGCATCCTCTGTGGCTGCCATGCATGGTGGGGTTATCACAGCTTCCCAAGAGCTCCCTAGAACCTACCAGTGTGTCATCTTCCTATTGCAGATTTGCACCACTATTGCATTGATCTCCCAGCTCTGTTTGATGAATCTTTTGAGCTTAATTTTCAGTTTTGTTTTCATACAGATCAGAAGATGAGTGTGTAAAGGACTACAGGGACCGAGATAGAGATTTTGACAGAGACAGAGAATATGAGAGAGCACAGAGAGAGAAACTGAGACGCCAAGAAGAGGAGCGTCGGAGGCAGAAAGAGCGCTATGAGAAAGAGAAGGTTTTTAGAAGAAAAGAGGAAGAGGTGAAAAAGGAGAGAGACTTACTCAGAGAAAAGGGAAAGAAAAGTGATCTTACAGACTTTACCAGCAGCATGGACAAATCTGAGAAAGTAACCAAAGACGATAAAAAAGAGGATACAATTAAGAGGGATCGTATCAGAAACAAGGTGCTGGATTTCTTTAAATTCCTGTGTTGATTCATAGGGATCAGCTTGTGGTTTGTAGGATAAAAGCACTTCAAGGAAAGAATCATGTGGTTTCTCTGTTGAAACTTTTCCCTGGTCTCGCAACGAACTTCGACAATGCTAGAAAGTTTTTATTCCCATTTGTCCACTAAATTTTGATAAACTGTTGGTCTATTTCTTGTCACTCTATAGGAATTAAGCCAAAATACCATGGTGAATTGTAAAGACACTTGATCCCTTTTAATTTGCTGACTTATGCTGTAGACTATATCTTTAAGGTGTTGGTAGAGTATCAGTAACCTGCTGTTTTCTCTGCTGATGCCAT